GAGGGGAAAGATGGGTACAGAAAGGTCCACATAATGAAGGGATAGAAAAGGGGGAGAGAAAAGGAAGGGGGGATGGACAAGGAAGGGGGAGAGAAAGGGGAGGGAAGATGGACAAGGAAGGGGGAGAGAAAGGGGAGGGAAGATGGACAAGGAAGGGTAAGAGAAAGGGGGGACAGGGAAGGGGGGAAAAGGGAGGGAAGGAAGGCTCGACGATGTGGGCGCTTGATGACGTGGGCGCTCAACGATGTGGGTGTGCATCATCGTTGTGTCGCATTGCCATCATCGTGTCGCATTGCCATCATTGTGTTGTGTTGCCATCGTGTTGTGTTGTCATCGTGTTGTGTTCTCGTGGTGTTGCATTGTCGTTGTTGTGTTGTGGCGTGTCGCCGTCGTGTCCTGTTGTTTTCATGTCGCATTTTCGTAGTCATTAGTGGGGTGGGATGGGATGGAGGAGGGGGGGGCACTTACCTTTGGATGATGACAAACGACAACGTCATTTGTCGTCTGGATGCCATGTCACTGATAGCGACGTGGCATCGTTTGCTGGTGACGTGGCATTCTTGCATTGTTCTTGATGCATCAAGGTGGTCAGGGTTGCGGATTGACGAGTGTTGTGGGTGGTGGTGAAGACGGGTGATTGTGGTGACGTGGTGATGGGTGGGTGTCATGGACAAAGGTGGTGGTTGAGAGGAAAGAGTGGTTTGTTTGTTGATGATGCCCAAATCAAGCATCAGAGGAATTCTGTTCCATCATATTCTGTGAGCATTCCTTCTGGGTGATCACCGGAACCATTCCGGCGGAATTTGAATTCCATTCAAAATTCCACAGAATTGTTTGATCAATTTGGCAGGGCCCTCTGCCAAATTTGATTCCTCTGGAATTCCAGGAATTCCCCGGATTCTGCTGGATTCCGGCAGGAATCAGTGGAGGACAATAAAGACCTCATGTTTCCAGCCTTGTTTGGGGGGATAATTCACCCCAGCTTGTAAAGATCAAAGTTCTCTTGCACTCATTGCAGTAGACAGCAAGATTAGAAGGTATAAGAGCCAAGTGGGACTGCAAGAACAAAGGGGACAGGAAGCAAGATGAAGGGGGAAGGGAAGAAAGATGTGGGAACTTAAACACACACAGCTAGGGCTGAGGGTTTCTTTCAAATGTCTATTTTGGGTAATTCAGACTTAATCAAAATTTCAAAGTAAGAGGCAGTGTGAAAATGCCACCTTGTTTGATTCTAAGTATGTACAAGGGGGATGTAAGCCAGGCAAACAAATGAGACAGCAGGTGGGATTCCTGCCATCTCGTTGTGTTCCAGGGCTCAGGTAGTTACTATGAAATGAAAAACAAAGGCGGTGAGTGGAATCACCACCTTGTTGGTATTGTAGGGAAACATGTCAAAATACATAAGTAAGGATGGGACCAGCAAGCGTTGGCGTGGGTGTGAGAGGTGGGGGAGGCATGTTCACGTGGTTGTCAATGCAAGGTGAGGGAGGCATGGTTGTTGTGGGTGGGCACTGGGCATCGTTAATGGGCAGTGGGCATCAGGCGCTGGGTGTCGTTGATGGGTGCTGAGTGTTGTTCATGGGTGCTGGGATGTTGACAGGTGGGCGTTGTTGTTTGGTGGATGCTGGGCATTGTTTGTGGGCACTGGGCATTGTTAATGGGTGGTGGGCATTGTTTGTGGGCAGTGGGCATTGTTTGTGGGCGGGTGCTGGGCGTCGTTGATGGGCACTGAGTGTTGTTTGTGGGTGCTGGGATGTTGACGGGTGGGCATTGTTGTTTGGTGGATGCTGGGCTTTGTGGGCAGTGGGTGCTGTTTGTGGGTGGTGGGCATTGTGGGTGGGTGGTGAGCATTGTTTGTGGGCAGTGAGAGTTGTTTGTGGGTAA